TACCAATCTATTTTTTCTTTCAAAAGATTTTCTAAATACTTTATATCATCAACTCCAAGTATTCTAGATCGTCCTAAAGATGGTAATCTTTTTTCAACACATCCATATTTTTTAAAATGTAAAAAAATTTAGAAACAGAAGTTTTACTAATATTAAGTTGTCTTGCTATTGTTCTACAAGAACAACCTTCTAAAGACCTTTCAACTATTAGCCAATGAATATTTCCATTGAGTTTTAAAATAGGCATGTTGCAATAAAGATAAAATAAATCTTTTTTGTCAATAATGCGTTATCACGTGTTATTTTGATTTTTAATTTACCGAATATCTGACAACTCTGACAACCCGACAAGTACTCAGCTAAAAAAATTGCTGAGTGTCCCGTTACTTATGAAAACAGCTGTAAATAAAAAAATAAATATTAATTTTAGAATTTTAAAATCAACCAATCAAACTTAACTTGATTATCTAATATAATAAAATAATATATATATATAAAAAATAAACAAAAAAAAACTATTTATTTTTTTTTATTTCTCAATAATAATTTTTATATAAATATTTATTAAAAATATTGTTTATTTATTAAAACATATAATTTTCATAAATAATCATATGTAAAAAACAGGATTTAATAAGTCAGTACTTGTAATTTTAAGATACTTTAGTTTTACTTTGCAGAAACTTTTCAAATCGAAAGAAAGTCGTGACCAAATTGAATATTTATTATAGACCAATTAGTCAAGATTTGGTCACGATTTAGTTTTACTCAGTCACGATTTAGTCTCGAAAGAATAAAGTAGTTCGTCAATATTCAGTAACTTAAAATTAAGACGATCGTCACCTGATCTGGACGACTTCATACAAGAAATTGTGATGACATTTCAAAAATGTATTTTCAAATTTGTAAAGAAATAATAAAGAAATAATAAAGTTTTATTTAATACATCGTAAAGAAATTAAAAATGTTTATTTAATAAGTAGTAAAGTTATTGTAAAGTTTTATTTAATAAATTGTAAAGTTATATTAAAGTTTTTATTTTCAAAGTTGTAAATAAGACGTAAAATGTTCTATAAACTCTATTTAAGAAATAGTAAAGTATTCTATTCTAATGCAAATTGATTATTCTAAATAATAAATAAGATGTAAAATTTTCTATAATTATAAACTGTAATGTAAAAATGTTATATTAATAAATTGTAAATAATAAACATTAAACAGATTTGAAAAAATATAAATTTCGTATATACGAATTATTTCTAGAATCGGGATTGTCTCTATCACATTCTCTATCTCTACAACTGTGAACGAAATGTGCAATATTAATTGCATTCACCATATTAATAGAGAAAACTCTTCGACAGTTATTTTTCGGACTTCTTATTAACTTGTATACTGGGCAACCTAGGATTTTTCTATTTACTTTCTCAAACTAATCAATGATAATAAATGCTAATCAAATGTCATTCTTTTGATAACATAATATTGCTCTAACAATCGCAAAATTTTCTTCATCTTTGATATTGATTGATACAACATCCCCAATATGTAAACGGCATAGAACAGTATCACCATTTTCTTTTTCAAACAGGAAACTTGCATATTCAAAGAATGACATCATATTGTTAAATATTGCAGAATTATCTCCCAAATATTCATAAGTTAGCTTCAGTTCTGATTGGATATTCAACAATAACGATTTTTCAATGCTTCTTTAAAGAATACGCTTCTTTAATAATATGTTTGAAATACGTTCGTCTGGAGAGTATACTATATATAAATGTGATAAATGATAAATAAATGTATATTATTAGTATTAAATAAATGTAATAAAATGTTAATTAAATAAAAATAATGCATTGATTAATATTATACCTTTACTTGTATTATCCTCAATCTCACTTATATCTTTCGTAATGAACCAGTCACTCATTAATCGTTTCAAATGCCTCGAAAGGTTCATAAAGCTAGCTATTGTTTGATGTGGAAAAACGTAAGTCTATGCCACTGTCTAATAAATGCCGTATTGCGAATAATGTAGTGTAATGCTTTAATAGATCCAGGCCCACATTTTTTAAATTTGTTCGTGATACAATACTTTTGAATATTCGATGTACCATCTCCTTCGTTCCAACACTCGTATTCAACAATGTCACATAATTCTTTGCATGTAATAGTAAGTGAAAGTTAGTATGCAGGTTCGGTAAATTCTCAAAGTCTCCAAATGCCTAGTTATAAATGAATGAGATAATCAAGATCAGTAATAAATGTAATAAATATAATAAATGAATGAAATTATATGCTAATGTTCGATTGGTGAGGTCACATGATTGCATTTCTTTTACTTTTTATTGTATTACTTAATTTTGTGTTCTATTTGATATATATATTACTTAATAAATATTTGTTCAATAGAATTATTAGTGAAATGAAATAAATTAATAAACAAATAACTGGAATCTTAATAAATAATCTAGTTTTGTTATTATCCTTTTGTAGTTTTTTATTCATATATTCTTAATATTTAGTCATAGATCAAATAATATTACCAGTGATAAAAGTTTTCATTTATTATCCAAACAATCACGCAATTCATAATAATCTTCTTTCAAAAAGGAATCTTTAAATACCATTACCATCATTTTTGCAACCAATATCCAACACTTTAACCAAAGTTTTACAGTATGATCACTTCGAGTGATTTCCATTCGGCATTGAAGCAAAGATAATTCTGGTCTTTTGAAGTGTGTATGCTTTAAGAATCTATTAAGGATAAACAGAAGCATTATGGTTAATTGTAAACAATCTGACATCATAAAACTGTCAATATGTGAAATCAGATTTGGTAATTTTTGCCAAGCTTTCAGATATTCAAATGACTTCCAAGCTGTTATGAATTCTGATTTTCCTTCTGGCAAAAGTGCTTTGATTGTTATCTTAAGAAACTTTAGCACTTTTTCAGCTGTAAGATGATAAACGTCTTGTGGTGATTAAAGATGTCTTTCTCTTTTTAATTCATCAAGTATTGATGGCTGCAAATGAAGTCTATATTCAGCTGCAATAGCTTTACATTCTGTTATCATTAATGTTGCAGAAATTTCTTTGAATTGTTTGTCCGTTTGTTGATGATAATGAGAGACTAAAGATGGTACAGCAATTGATTTCAAATTTACAAAATGTTGCAACATAAGCTAAAATTAGTTGCAACATATGTTGCAACATTATAAGTTGCAACATATATAGGTTAAAACTAATTGCAACGTAAGTTGCAACATTAAAAGTTGCAACATATTAATTACAGTTTCCATCTTTATGAGAGACTAACTTCAAATCAAGTCCATCAGATGTCAAAGAATTTTTTGTTATGTTACAAGTCCTGCATCCTCTATTAGCACTATGCTTCTTTACTCCAACTAAATTGTTACCTTGCGATAAATCAGCAGTAATATCACCAATACTTGCAATTACAAAGTACTTTATTCCTTGAACATCCATAATTTTTCCAACTTCCAATTCTTTTATCTCTATAATAAATGGCTTGATAAATTCATCAAAAGAACCACCAAAAGGAACAAATCCTAACACAAAATGTTTCTTTAAACGTATTCTTTCATTGAGTGGCATATTTTCGATCTGAATGTAGACGCTATCTAATGAATGATAAATGTTATAAAACGTTCCAAAGTCATCATAGTATAGATCAATGTATAACTTATAGACTGGAAGATTTGTTGCTTCTGGTTCTTTTAATGCAGCAAATTCTGAAGGATGCTGATAAGAATACTTGACATCCCTCAACTTCTAATGACCTTCATACTTGTGAAGAATCTCTCAGATTTTGATTGTATTGCAGTTAGTAACATTATCATTGTAAAGAACTGTAATTGTTACTTGTTTAACAATTACTTGCAATTCGACATTTACGATTGCATTGTCTATTTCTCGATCAAGAAACCAAACTTCGTCTTCTTGTGATCTTTGTTTTCGATTGTTGCTTTGTAGGTTTCTTGGTAACTCATCATACGTTAAAATATGTTGGATTTTAATCTTTAGCTGATTGTCTTGTTATATAATTGCTAATATATGACCAAATCTTTTCAATTCTCTAGATTCTCTATATATTACGAAATCTCTGGAGTAATATACTTTTTGAGCAATTGTGATAGATGCTTGACCAAATCGTGCTGATTCTTTCCAAATGTCCCCATGCCAAAGTTCTTTACTTTCTTTAACTTCTAGTCCCAGTCCAAAGTACATATTGCTAAATAACAAAGGATTATTTAAAATTTTACATATAATATCAGTAATGGACAAATAATATGCTTCTCCGGTAGTTTTAGATGTTGATGGAGTCTTCTTGCTTAAAATGTTAATTTTGCGAGATTTTATTGAAAGTAAAGGCAACCTCTGTCTATACTTTTTAAATCATTAGCTGTTCAGTACAACGTCTTCACTTTTAAACTGTGGATTTCAGATTATATCTATTAGTTCGTCATATGCTTAGGTGGCTGGTAAAGAATTACTGTTAGTTATATTATCGTTTATAAAGTTTTGAAAGAATCTAACTTACATATACGATGCTTTTGCATCCAACAAAAAAACAATAATTCAGTAATATTCTTGAAATATGAGGCAAATTTACCAAAAGAATGTGGCATTTAGTCAATATTAGGGTTGATCAATAATTATATCTTCTTCAGATTTCTCACTTTCGCTTATTTCTTCTCTATCATCTTTATCTTTGTCACTTTCATTAAACTCCATCATTGTTCTTTCATATTCACTTTCAAATTCTATATTGTCTTCACTCACTTCTATATAATCTTCCCTCATTTCTTTATCTTCGTTCATAATATGATCATTTATAACAGTTGTATTTTTTAAAAGAATAAAAGAATAGAAATTTTGATAGAAAAAAGGTGTATTTATCATAAAATGACAAGTATCAATTTTTACCGTTTGTTTTATCTTTTTGTTTCATTCTTTTGTTCAGCGTCGAAGATACATTAAACGGGTTGTATTATTGTCTAATATAACTTCGTTAACCAATATTAGAAATGTAACTATTTCGAAACATTTTCTCAAAGAAAAGAAATGATACGTATTTTTTGAAAAAGAAAGTATAAAAAGCTTGTTATGTAGTTTAATCGAAAGTTAATTGTTCCTTTATTATTTATATATTTATTTATATATTAAAATATATCAATTAAAAATATCACACAATTAGTTAATCATCTATAGTCGACT